CTTACGTGAGCGAGGACGATTTAGACGAGGCGTTAACGCCATTTCATCTTATGCATGGTCGCAGCATGTCTACGGGAAAGAAGGTTCTAACTACGGACGTTGTGGCTGTTATGAGTCTCGAACATTGCAAGAAACGGTTATTCCACTTACGAAAGTTATTGAAAGATTTATGGTCGAGATTTCGTAGTAATTATCTAAATGAACTTCGTCAGATGAACATTTACCGCAAGGAGAAAGGTGGAAAGGCTAGAATGATCGAACTCGGAGATGTAGTGCTGATCAAAGACGACGACCCTACACCGCGGACGCAATGGAGAATGGGCAAGGTTTTGAATCTGGTGAAAGGTCGTGATGAGAAAGTACGTGGCGCTAAACTGAAGGTGCTTTCTAAAACTGGAAAGCAGACATACGTGTTTAGACCAATTCAAAGATTGATTCCGTTCGAAATTGTAGAAACATCAAGAAACGATCGTAGAGATGATAATTCCGAAGGACAATTGAATGAAACGATTGTAGAACTGCCGGAGATCGAGAACAGTGATGAAAACAGGAAACAACGCAATGATGGACGAGTTAGGAGAAAAGCAGCGATCGAAGGGCAGAACATGCGAAGAGCTCGTGAACAATATTATTAAGTTAGGATTTTATTAACGCTAGCACTTAACAAACTTTTAATCTTTGGTTGGGAGGATGTAGAAATTAATATTTTTAGGTCAGTTTCGTACTTCATGTTAGCAAATTAGCAGTATTGCATTTTGATTGGTCATCGCAAATCATGTGAGTGATCACATGACAGGACAATGAACGCTTGAACAATAACTCAGTGTTGTATGTCAGAGAGAGACGCACGGGTGTGCAAATTTATGTCGCACATAATTTTAAATAAAACTTTATAAAAATCAAGAGAAGGTCTTGCTTTTTAAAGTTATATAGTGAGTTTAAGCAAGTGACGTTTTTGACAACACGGACGTCGACCGGAGGTAAAGTTGACGTTTTTCACCAATCACAGTCCTTGACCCAGTCTTCTGACGTTGCTCATGCCGTCAGTGTCGTCAAAAACGTCACTTGCTTAAGCTCACTAATGAGGGTCACAGCCCTCTTCAATGACTTGTCATGACTCATGAATATTAGTACTACAGTAATTTTACACTATTTGAGAGTTATGTTGACATATGCTAACCCAAGTTAATGTTATTGATGGAATGTGTGTATTATCTCACCGAACTGTGGTAATGTATTAGAAATTATTCGTATTGCATTCATGTTAACAATCGCGCCTGCTATTGCTATCACAAGTTGATTGCTCTTTAAAATTAGAATTGTAAACTTTCGGAGCCATATGGCATATATGTACAAATCTTTTGATGGTTCCCACATTTCGGTGAGATCCGTAGTACTGACTACTCTGCGTGTATATTGTATTTTTAGTTATAGTATTGTGTTTCTAATACAGAAATTGGAACATTATTTATCTCAACTTTTATTACAATAATTCATTCCAATCTTGGTCTGTTGGAGAAATTGTAATAATTTAATCAAGACCAAATAAACCCCAATATTTTTGCCTGATTCATTATATACATGTAGAATACGTCTACATGCAAGAGTGCAACCAAATCCACATGACTTTAAATGCTATATAAAACGGCACCACCAAAAAGCTATATCAGCTCGATCGGTTCTAACCTCTTCATTGGGGCTGAGACTGCTCTCCTCTGAAAGGGCCAGAACAGCTCCGGTTAACAAAGTAGGGGTTAAATTGGCTTTTCTTTTGGATCTATAATGGCTCTGAAATTGGACCAAATTGACCCTTTGGGTGCTACAAACTACACCATGGAAAAAGCTATATTAGCTCCTTCGGCTCTAAAGCAGCTCTTCTTTGGGGCTGAAACTGTGCTCTTCTGAGAGGGCCAAAATAGCTCTGGTTAAAAAAAGTAGGGGTTAAATTGGCCTTTCTTGTGGTCTATAATGGCTCAGAAATAGAACCATATTGGCCCTTTGGGTGCTAAAAAACTACACCATTAGAAAAGCTATATCGGCTCTGTCGGTTCTAAAGCAGCTCTTCATTGGGGCTGAAACTACTCTGTAACTCAGTAGCCAAAACAGCTCCGGTTAGCGAGCCAAATCAACGCTTTTTGGGGTTCATTATGACCACAAATGGGAGCCAAATTAACTCCTCGAAATGCCAAAATAGCCCCCTAATTTTCTGTATTGGCCCCTATTGAAAGTTGAAATAGCCCCTGCTTTTGCCAAAACAGCTCCTACTAAAAGCTGAAACAGCCCTTACACTGGAAGGGCCAAATCACCCCTTAGGGGCCGCATTGTTATAGGTGCCATTTTGACCCCCCAAAAAGATCTATTTTGCGGTCAGCGTTTTGGCCCCATTTTTGGGGTCGTTTCAGCCCTTTTTAATTTACAGTATATATATATATTTACAGTATATATATATATATATATATATATATATATATATATATATATATATATATATATATATATATATATATATATATATATATATATATATATATATATATATATATGGGGGGAGGGCAGAGGAGGGTGGAAGCTCTTCCCAGCATGCATTGCAACTCATTAATATTCACAATCATGATTTTTCACAATGTTAGTTGGAAAAGTTGTGGATATTTATTTCGATATTTCGCCACGAAAAGTTCGTATTTTTGAAGGTAAGTTTTTATAATTGTTTTAAATATGAGTCAAATTAACGATTTTTGCTTTATTTGGTGTTTTAACAACGTTTAGTTATATGTTAATCGCAATTTGGATTGACCTGTTTTCCGGGTCAATGCACAAGTGTCAAAAGTGGCTTTCAAAACCGCTGGGGACAATTGGGTTTATAAATGAGTAAATTAAATAAAAGACACGCCATCGTATTCAGGAAGAGTTGTTCTTTCTATGAGAAGTTTAAAAAATGAATTGTCCCCATCAAACTGACGAGTAATCGCGGTTTGAAAATGGGGCATTTTCGGTATACTATGTCGCCCATCGCGGGAATATTATCGACCGCATGGGAATTATGGCGCGAGGAAAATTACTGTACGAGTCGTTATTATTTTTGTTTTATTTCGAAGCATGTGCATATATGTCGATCGTTGTTGAGTTTAACTGCTGCATTTAAGTTAAATACACTGTATTTTATCATTATTTTTATAGAATTCGAATATATTTTGTGAAAATGGAATCTGATAATGATGGCAATGTTGTTTATATTGTTGATCCTTAGTATGGGAAAAGTTGAACTTATGAATTTAATGCTGATTTAGAACTGTTATTGAGCAAACTGTTCCTACAGCCTGCTTTGGCAAATGGTATAACATCTAATCCAGCCAAGTTGTGCTCATGATCCATTCAACTAATTCAAGCAATGAAACTATTGAACCAGAATAATAAGAGCAACCTGTTATATAAATTTGCCCATACCAGCCTTTTAATAGTAGTGATGGGCGATTACCGATTACTTGGTATCGATACCACCCGATACCAGGCCCAAATCGGAAGTAGTCGATACTGCACGGTATCGAAAAAGTGTTTTGATTACTTTTAAAATTGGACATTCATTATAATTCTGTAGTTGTGACATCGTTTTCATGGCTATTTCTAGTAACATTTATGTACTTTTTTGTATTTTGCTGCATTTACCAATTTAATCAAACTTCCTTTACTTTATTTGACATTCTATCCACTTCCCTGATTAATATCACTGACCTCGTCGACGGAATAAATTATGACAAAGGCGGGAAATAACTTATCATAATGGCGGAAAATTATGAAATACAATCGTCGTCGTAGTAATCGTTTGGGTAATCGATACCTCGATACTTTTACGAAAAAGTAATCGGTATCGTATCGAATCGATACTGGTGGTATCGCCCATCACTATTTAATAGATACATATTTTAGTAGACATTTTACATGTAAATACTGGTGTATTGGTGACATGAAAATGTTGCAATGAATCTTAAGTATTTACTTTATATATTGTAACTTTGAATAAAGCATTTTATTAACATCAATTGTGTATGACCACTGCATTTATATGACCACCCCCCACCTAGCCCTGGCCAGAGGGTATGCAGGGGGTGGTGGGTATTTTCATGATAAAGCAAAAAATATTAGAGTCAAAATGAGTAATTTGAGTAATAACATGATGATAAGTAAACTGTTTGTTAACAACAATTACAATACAGTAGTCAAGCAAGACTTTGCTGTAGTCAAGTAAGTTGATAGGTGGGTGGCGCACATGACTGACACAACTCGGCACCAGAGCACCCTCCCTACCACATCATACTGGATCCATATTTAGATCAGTGATCCATCTGTGCTAAATATACAGCTGTTAAAACAGTGTTAAGAACACATGCACAATGACTGCAGTAAACAAACACAGGAAATTGAGTTTGAAAACATTTATTTATTTGAAAAAGGAATAGTAAAATTATATTTAACAATTATTCGCCGAAGGCGAGGTGATTATCGGGGAATATTTGCCGAGGTTAATATTCCCAGATAATCACAGAGCCTGAGGCAAATAATTGTTTTAGTATTTTTGCACAAGTTTTTGTATTTTTCTGGTCTGAATTCATTTTAATTTCGTTATTTCTTTATTACTAACTTCAACAAAACAGCTAGCCGCCATTTTGAAAATTTCGATTTTGTTATAATATAACAGATTAATACATCAAATTTGACCAATCACCTTGTAGCATTTGTTATGTTCACTTGTGCAAAAATACTAATATCAAATATTTACCTGAAATAATAACAGTGTTTTAATAGGAATAAATTTATATGAAAATCTCAACTAAAAATGTCTTGCTCATGTTCTACTTTAAATTTTAACTTGAGATTTTTTGATCATCTATACATGATTATCACAAGTTGCATGGTATCTTTGTTCTCGCCTGGAACCAGCTACAACAAACTTCTCAGGATACAAAGTATCCTCCACAATCCTTGTCTTAATTCTCAGGATACAATGTGTCTCCTCCACAATCCTTGTCCTTCAGAATCCTTGTCTCCATCCTCCTAATCAGAGCTTGAATCATTCATGTATTTAGCATCATCAGTAGCCTGTTCCACACCCAATAATTGAGTCAACTGCTGAATTTCATCAATCTTGTCCATGTCTGCAACTCCACCTTCTGCACCAATACTTTCCACATCACCAGGCATCTCTTCACCATGAATTTTAACTAAACACATAGGATTTAATGGCTGTTTAATGCAATTGCACAACAATGGCTCATCTAAATTCACCAGTAGTTGGTCATTCAGTATATCCTCTAAAATATCCAGCTTGGGTGGTCTGATTGTTACAGAAGTTGGTGATGGAATAATGTTAAACTCCCACAACAGAACACAACATAAGTACTACAGGTAAAAATAGATTTGATGCATTTATACAGGGACGTTGGAACAATAAAAAGGCAAGGACACCTTTATAGACCTACAATTATGTGTTGACTTGCCAATGAAAGCCTGAGTGTGCATGTTCCATTGACGATAGCTGTTCTGTGTTCTGGAAATAAAGTCTACTCAAGGAACTATAACTGCACAAACACACTTAATCAGGTCACATTCAAGTTCACACCTCATGACTTTGCCCAAAACT